AAGGGCGAGAATGTGGCGGTGCATCACAATTTAGCCACAGTGACGTATACAAACGCCACACTGCCACTTATATCAGAGCGGGATGCGCCAGATTCACCCCTCTCAATTTGAAAACCTCATCCAGAACAGAAAAGATTAACAAAGAAAGAAAAAGAGATAAGACTGACGCCGTTATCTTGATTATATCAACAAATCTCATCATGGGTCTCCCTCAATTCACCAAGCCCTCAACCGACAAGGATGACCAGAGCTCGCATGCTCAGCAGCCGCAACAAGGAGCAGCTGTGGGTGCTGGCGCCAACACAGGCGCTGGAGTGACGCGCGAGAAAACCGAGGCGGAGAAGGAGGCCGATCGCCTCTATGAGGAGAGAATGGAGGATGAGTACGCCAAGCGCGAGGGCGGCGCATAGGCCCTTTTCGATCATTACCAAGAGGACGCAATGAGTTACGAAGAGCCTTGAACTTGCGTTGGCTGAGTTAAGAGCTTGTACTGTGGGATATCTTCACTCTTAATTTACAAATATATTGGCGGGTCAAGCTGCTGCTTTGTGTTTGCTGGGACTGTACTTGAATAATTAGGAAGACCGTGCTCTGTTGAATGGCCATTCATGTCCTTTGGAATCAAATGATAGGTAAGATGGCAAGGGTTGACATACGACTACTCACCATATCTATTTGAAAGCTGTACTGAAGCAGTCAGTCTTCTCCTGGCAGACTAGCCGCGGCGGTCATTGCATACAATCTTGCTCTTCAGTTTCTCAATAGCAGGTAATTAAATACGTTCCACGAGATATGCGACCAATAACCAAAGTAGACGCTTCACACAGTTTAGTACATTTAATACAGGCTTTACGTCTCTTTTATCTAAGAAGCCTTTCCGCTTGGATATGAGTAGAAACCGAGGCTACATTGAGATCAACAAAAATAATATAATAAATTCTAGTTATGTGTCACACACTGTAGAAGTTCTACACTCTCTCGCTCATCTCCTATTATCCTTGCAAAATTTTGTTTCTTTCACTTTTGAATGCTGCTAGCTGACATGTGTCCTTGCGATCACCTTTCTTAGGCACCTTGGCGTTCGGTCTTGATATCGTAATCTCCCGCCCCTCTATGTTAGCACTCATACAGGAACATCTTCACTCTGAATTTGAAAAACTGATGGCGGATTAAGATGTTGGGAAATATGAGGCGACCAAAGTAAGCTTCCTGAAATGGGAAGTTGAGCGTCAAATCTGTACCAACAAACAACACGCGTTCCACGTTTTAGCACTAAAAGAGAATTATGTCGCGAAACCTTCCATGCGGATAAAACCAGAACCCGCTAACTCTTTGTTCCTATGCCCAGCCACTATCATACATGTCTCATATATGCTGTAGTAAAGACCCAAGCCAAGGCTATTTCTCAAAATGAACATTGTCCGTTAAATACTCCTTCTCGATTATCACACACGCGTAGGACGAAGACGGTGCTCTGCCACCATACTCCGACCGGCAGTTGGCTTGATTCTGCTAACCGACCGCCCGTTTTAGATCTAAAATTCTCTGCTTTCGCCAATATCACAGACGTCGAAGACCCCTTCCTCAGCGATCTCTCTGCGCTTCAACGCCTCTTTCAAGAGCTTGGGTGGCTCCAACACATCTTCACTAGTCAGCGCCCAAGTGCCCCAATGGATACCCATGGCACGTTTGCACTGTGTGTCGCGGAAGATCTCTACTGAGTCGAAGGGGTTGGCATGCATGCCTGAAAAGGCAGCACGGGGGTGGTAAGCGCCAATGGGGATGAGACCCAGGTCAAACGGGCCTCGCATATCTCCAATCTGCTTGAATTGTGGGCAACGGGGCAAGGAGGCGAACTCTGGCCCATAGTCGTCAACGCCCTCGGGCACCAGGGGAACGGCGCGGTAGCCTGTGTCGCCGCCGAACCAGACGCTCTTCTCCCCGGTGCGGACAGCCCAGGAGCACCACAGGGTGGTATCCTTGTCAAATGGGCTACGAGCAGATGTGTGTTGGCAAGGGAGGCAAGACACACGGGCCGTTATTGTCTTTTCCTTATCTTCTTCTCCGTCTTTCACGGTAATAGTCAGATCGGCGTCTTCCCACCAATCTAGCTCTGTCACATTGTCGATGCCCGACTTTCGGAACCACTTTTCGAGCCCGAGTCCGACAAAGAACTGCACCTTGGGATGGTATTTTTGGATTTCGACGACTGAGGGGTGGGAGAGATGATCGTAATGGCTATGACTAATGACGACGGCGTCGATAATGGGGATGTCCTTGAGCTGGCAAGGAGGCTCGGTATATCGTCGAGGACCGATCAAAGAAGCAGGCCATGGAGAGCAGCAAGGCTCAAACACGGGATCGAAGAGTACGCGCACGCCGGATGGGAACTCGACGTAGTAGCAGGCGTGGCCCAGCCAGGTAGCTCGGATCTTGTTCTCGGCCTGGCCGGCTTCGCGATTGGGAAGCCAATTGGGCTTGACGACGGGTACAGTAGGAGGGGTGGTGTCGGGGAATTTCAGGTTTCCCGTGAGTCGTGCCCTGGGGAGGATTGGATTAGCTTCTCGCTTGCCATCGCATGTAACAGGGTTGGAAGCTGTAGGGAGGAGACGTACCATATAACATGCTTAAGAACGTCGGGGTCCTTGTATGATGGGTACGGGTTTCTGAAGCCTGTGACGACTCCGTTCTTTCCTTTGACGATGTGGTGGGGGTTGGAGACTGCATCTTCGGGGATCGAGCTGCGACCTGGAATTTTGGAGACGGACGTGGTGTATGAGGCGGTGGCCATTGCTGCCGCGACTGCTGCCGGTACAGGCAGCTAGCTTACCATGCAGATACGGTGCAGTTGACAGCTAGTACTTTGCGGGGGTGAGATGGCTGGGAGAAGAATGGCATGAACAAGGTGAGAGGAAACGAGAGCGAGATAAACGGAAGAGGAGGAGGTTAAAAAAGAACCAGGGCCGGCGGAGAGGGCGGGGGGTGGGAAGGGCAAGGAGTCAGCGAGGCCTTCGCCGCAGCTGCGACTATCTACCTAATATATTGAGGGCGAAGTGGAATGTTGGCCGGGCTTCACTAACCGACTACAGGTGGCACAGGTTACGGTGGGATGCGGCTGCAGTTTGATTTCTTTTTTCTGTGCCGTGGCGTGCGTCGCGTGTTTGCGAAGACCAGTGATATGTCGCAGAGGCGATCTATATCTTTTTCTTTTCTTTGTCCTGGCTGCCGACCATCCATTCTACTGCGAATGGAGTTGGAGAGGCGGCCGCAACTGCACCCGTCTCCCCACAAATGCATGATGCCAAAGCTACTCAGTTCAGCTCGCTACTAGAGCCAGTGATCCACGCCCTGAATCATGGGCCGGGGGAGGTCCGAGGCCATGGGTCCAGCACTCCCCTGAGGCATCTACAGTATTACGCATGTCGGGGAGTCAGTATTTACCGACGCGGCCTGGCCCTGGTCCATCTCCTGCCGAGACCTTTGGGCTGATGGCCATGGCGACGAACCCCGGCGCAGTGGCTGGGTAATATTGCAGCCACGGACAGTGATGCGATGTGACAGTGAGATGAGCAGCTGCTTCCTTCGCTTCCCCCATCGCACTCGCCTGCTTAAGGCAGGAAGCTAGCCTGAAACTCCCTGCAACCAGCTCACCGCGGCCCCGTCGCCAATGTGCTGATTGGCGACGCAATTCCAGTATTATGCAGGGCCTCCACGTGGAGTTATGCACGTTATATCCACCTGGAGCTCCTGGTGCTCCGTGCCCGTCCTCTGCTGCTCTGGGCTGGATGTAAGAGGTATCTCCGTTCTGGTCCTCGGGGCTAATAAAGGAAGTAGGTTACTGCACTGGGCATTTTTAACAAGACAGGAGTTCGGGGTATCAATCCGCTCGCCATCGCCGGTCGCTCCGGCCCATCCGCTCTCCCTCCGGACAAGAGAAACCAACGCCCAGTTGGACGGATGAACGCCTGCGAATGCAAAGGCGACAACGACGAGAAACCATGGAAGTCAACAGCAACAGGCCTCCCCACATGGTCCGAGGCCTGTCCGTCTGGGACGAGTCGGCGACACATACTCTTCCCCTGCTCCCTTGCCTGCCCTAGTTTGTCCTGGCCAAGATACGAGTAGCTGAGGTAGTATCTGTACCTGAAGTACCTGATCTGGACATCCACCGATGATACCACGTTGATGTAGTACTGCAGGGTTTCCAGTTTGATATTAGCAAGCATAGCAACAGCAAATCAATACGCAAGTTTCTGCGATTGATCAAATCGAAATAAGATTATGTTTGGTTGATTTGCGGTTGATAGATACTCGTCGAGATATTGAGATTATCGCAACGATAACGCGGAACGAACCCGGCAGTGGATCGCCTAATTTCCCCCGTTGCAGTGGCCGCTCGTCTCGACAGCGGAGGACACAGAAGATTAGCCAAAACAGGTAAAATGTCAAAACAAAGTACAAACTTACCAATACAAGCGCATGTCAAAATTGGTTTCATTTATTCAAATTTGATTTGGTTTTAGTTTGGTTGCTTGGAAGCGATGCTGAAGCGAGCCAGGATGCAACAGGCCATGGAAGCACTCGACTTGTCAGATCAGCAAGACGAGACCGCGGTCCTTGCAGCTCCCAAACTTCCAATCTCAGAGGCTCAAGTCAGGGGGCACACAGCATAACTAGAAAGGAAGCAGATTTTAAATCCATTCTAACATGGTAAATGTTAACTGAAGTACATGATTCTTCCTCTCCTCAAATGATCTAGTCCGTGATATCATTTTTTTAACCCTGCAGATAACTGCCCTTATATAGCAAGAGAGGCACGGTGCACAAACCACAACAGAAAGAAATAATCATCCAGAAATGAACAAGAAGATACAGGGCAGAAAGCAAGAGAGCTGGGCCTCTATGTATGCAAATATGAACTCCAATGACTCCAGAAAACGAATGCTCGCGTCCATCAAAAAGCCGTGGCCATTTTTTTTTGTCAATCATCCTCAGGCGACCTACTGCTCAGAGTCCTCCAGCCTCAAGAAAGACTTGAACAGTTTCGACTCCGTGCAATCCTCGTACGGGTATCCAATATCCTGCAGGAACTTTTCCAGCTCCTCGACGTCCTCGTCAGGGCAGATGATGCCAGTCAGGCATTTACCCATGTCTCCGCCCGAGTTGCGGTAGTTGAATAGACTGATGTTGAACCTGGGTCGCAGGACCTCCAGGAACTTCTCCAGCGCGCGGGGGCGCTCGGGGAAGTTGAACATGTAAAGCCTCTCGTTCTTGACGCCCGAGACGCCTCCGACCAGATACCTGATGTGGCTCTTGGCCAGCTCGTCCTGAGATACGTCCGTGACCTCCATGCCACCCGCTTGGATGTTGTCCATGAGACGCTTGAGCTCTTCCTTCCTCTCCTGGGGAGGCGCGAGCAGGGACAGACCGAAGAAGACGTTGGCGATGCGATCGGTCGCGTAACGGTACGAAAACTCGGTGACGGGGTTACCCATGATGGTGTCAACGAGCTCGGCGAACGCCTGCGGGCGCTCGGGAATACGGACGTGGAGCAGGGCCTCCTTGCCGCCTCCAATCTTGGCGCGCTCGGCCACGAATCGGAATCGGTCAAAGTCCATGTTGGCTCCGGAGGTGACTGCGATCATGGTCCGGCTCGGGTCGCGGGGCGGGTTCTTCTCGACGTACTTCTTCAGACCGGCGATGGAGAGCGCACCGGCGGGCTCCAGACCACTCCGGGTATCGTCATACATGTCCTTGATGGCGGCGCAGATCTCATCGGTCGTCACCTCGACCACCTCGTCTACGACCTCCTTGCAGATGCGGAACGTCTCCTCACCGACGGTCTTGACAGCCGCGCCATCTGCGAACAGGCCGACGCTTGGCAGCACGATGCGCTTGCCCGCCTTTAGGGACTGCACGAGGGCGTTCGCGTCGTAGGCCTCGACGGCGATGATCTTGACATGGGGAGCCATGCGCTTGATGTAGAGGCCGATTCCGGCAATGAGGCCACCTCCGCCCGCGCAGCAGAAGATGGCATCCACCTTGGCCATGTTGGTCTGGCCGAAAAGCTCATTGCCGATAGTCCCCTGACCGGCAATGACATATGGGTCGTCGAAGGGGGGGATGTTGATGAGCCCGTCGATCTTTTCCCTCCGCGAGCACTCCTCCTTGGCGGCGTCGAAATCGGCGCCGTGCAAAACGACATGGCCTCCCAGACGGGCGACGTTCAGATGCTTGATGGCGGGGGTGGCTTCGGGCATGACGATGGTCGCCGGGATCCTCAGCTTGCGCGCCGAGAAGGCCACACCCTGGGCGTGGTTGCCGGCGGAGCTGCAGATGACGCCTCGCCAGCTTTTTTTAGGGTCGAGATGGGCCATCTTGTTGTAGGCGCCGCGCAGCTTGAAGCTGAATACGGGCTGCTGGTCCTCGCGCTTGAGCAGGACATTGCACTCGAGGCGGTTGCTGAGGTTGACGGCGTGGGAGAGCGGTGTCAGCTTGCAGGCTTCGTAGATGCGGGATGTCGCGCTCGCAATCAATCGCAGGTACTGGAAAACAATTCTAGTTAGTCGAAAAGCCAGTGAAAATCCGAATTGGTCCTCGCAGGAACCAGGGAGTGGGAAGAACTCACGTCCGGGTGGCCATTGGGCAGCAGAAAGTCCTCTGGGACGATTTCGCGGATGTGCTGGCGCTTCTGGTCATCAGGCGTTGACGGATTGACGCTGTAATCCGTCAGGGCCATGCTGGTCCTGGGGGTTCGGTATTTCTGCGACATTGGGACGGGGTTGTGCAGGTTGTTGATCTCTACCACGCCGTGAGGGTCGCCGTTGGAAAAAGTCACGAAAGGATCTTCTAGACCGCCGCTGGTGTTTTCAATTGGCCTGGCGCCGGCGTCGGCTCCGTGGCCATTGACTCGATGGCCATTTGCTCCGTTGGGCTCCGAAGTCGCGGGCGCCAGCTCGTACACGGCGGAGGGCATGTTGGCAACGCTCTCCAGCTCCCAGACAGGCTCGAGGTCGATCAATGTCTGGCAAACTGCAATCTGTCTCAGTGCACATTCATATACAGGAAAAACAAAACCAGCAAGCAAGGGCGTTTCACCAGTCACAGACTTGCCGAAGACGGATTTCCAAATTTTCGATAAGGTACAGGTAAGTGGAGCGGCCCGGCCGATAATGGAGGGGCAGCTGCAGAACTGCAGAACCACAGAACCAGGGGTTTTGACAGCCTAACCAGCGAGCCGGTCTAGTTTCAGGGCCCAATGTTGGAGCAATGGCAACCTACTGCCAGGCTGTTTCTACGAACAGCTTGTGAGGTCTCTCAGGTCTGTGACGGTTGGCAACAAGGTAGCTCGTTCCTCAGTCACCCCGCTCTGGCCGCGGAGGCCTCGACTGCAAGTCCGTGACAGCCAATGCAGCTTTATATGCTTCATATTTGCCCAGAACCAACCCGACGAGATATTACTATCCCGAGCATGTCTTTTGACAATAGATGGCTCGGTGGCACCGCCTAGATCGGTAATACATCAGTTTGATAGGGCAGCAGTACTTTTGGTCATTGCATGGCCTCAATCCCGGCTTACTTTGCGCATTGTCTCCACCTGCACCAACACCAAAACAACCAGGCACATGCCTCTCGAGAACTTGGGCATGAGGGTCACCGGCCGGCCATTTTGACGGCCATTCCCATGCTACTCTAGGCAAGAATGCGAAATATGGTCTCGGAGTCGACCCAAAGCAGCGTCCGGATTACCATTGAGTGACCATGCCCTGGTTCCCTTTACCCCTCCATGATTCCAGAAGGCATCTCAGTCTGCCTACACCGGTCTCATTTGGCTACCCGTGATTCGTCCAGCGCATATAACATGCTTGGCCAGATAGGTCACTTCCTTTTCATTCCGAGTTAATGGTTTAGAGGCAAGTCGAGGGGAGATCTTCATCGAATTCGGGTCGTGCCATGGCTATCCTTCACGCACGAACCAAGCCAGCGATATGCAGGGCAGTGAAAAAGCGAAGAGGCAAGGAGGGCAGCTCATAGTGGAGCAGGATGCCACCCAACTCCTCACCACCCTCGAGCTTCTCCCAAGCACCAAGGGCCCAGAGTGGTACGATGGATATTTTTAACAGCCTAGCTGCAGGGTCTACGGCCAATGGCACCCTCCGCAAAGTCGGTGAATAGGCAGAGTCGCCAACCGGGTGGGTGTGCGATTGTCCGTGTACGTGCCATGCGAGTCTATTCGCGGACCGGTCACATTAGCGCCGGCAGCTGGTGTAAGACATCAATGTGCGAGGTCGGTCCTGGCGATTGCGGGGGCATTGTTGGCCCGAGCTGATGGAGGAGCCAAGGCATTGGACTCGTAGATGTTGGTCGACGACATACGAGGTCAATCTTGACGAAGTGCGGTCTTACGAGGCCAAGATGGATTCACGATACCCAAGCGAGGTGTGTAAACAGGAACAGGGACCGACGAACCGCCTTGTGTGGCTCGCTTACAGGTGGTGAGAGAAGGTCGTTGCGATACGCTGGGAATCACACCTGGGCTCAAGCTTTTGGCTTCCTTTTGGCAATCAGTACTCTTTTCTTCGGATTCTGAAACATGCGGAAGTTCTAGGCTAACAATGTGTCCGTGTGCCGATCTTGTTTCAACCCATTGTGGCGGCTTTCCAGCTCACGTCTTTCAGCTTAACCATGTCTGCAACTTCCGATGAACAAGGACTAACACTTTGGTCATCCTTGGCCGCCTGACCTCACCTCCACCTGAATAGTTTCAATATCGGAACACCTTAAAGGGGCTGATTGATCATATAAGCTGCGTGAAATCTGACAACCTCGCACCTGAGGTTTAAGCGAAGCGCAATCCCGAGCTATAAGACTTGACTTAATGTTCCGAGCCAACGGGCATAGTCACATTCGCCTCTCGCATACAGCAGTTGGAGCTCATGCACCAGTAGCTGGAGGGGCCACGGCTTGGTAAGATGACCGAAAGGGAGGAAGAAGAGTCGATGAAAGGATCAAAAGAATATCAACTATATTCGCAGGAGACGGAAACACGACGCCTCTTATATATGTCTCGGGCTCCATTATTAGTGAACTGTCTGCACCTTCTCATAAGCCGGAGGCGCCTCCTCCATCCCTCCGTCACCAACATGATCGACAGATGATGGCTGCTGTCGAGGCAGATGCTGATCACCAACCCGCCCCTGCTCCGATCTCGCAGCCGGCCTACTATCGGTGTGGTAGTCTCGCCCGCCTACTCCATGCATGAGCTGCTGAGTCCTGACTGATCCAGACGACACTGTCTCAGGCGCAAACACAGCTGCCGCATCCTCCCGCCTCCGCCTGCAACAACCCCCGCCGCCACGGCGGCAGTCCCTCCTCTCGCGTCGCACGGCAACCCGTTCCGCTTTGTGCCGACGGCGCTCAGCCCTCAGCTCCTGTTTGAGCTCGCGGCAGGACCTGCGCTGTTCGGGGAGGGCGCCAGGCGCTACTGCATATCGTGTAGGGTGGTATCGCTGCTGCTCAATGGCTCCGAAGTAGGTGGTGCTGGGGCCGTAATACTCGGCGTCCCACTTGCTGCGTTTTGCGTCCTGCTTATTGCGCACCGTCTCCAGGATGTGGTTGATGAGTCGGAATATGGCCATCGCTTTGGGATGGAGGTTATTGATGTGAGGAAATGTGATTGTGTGTTGGCAAGGGCTGGTTGGCTCAGGCCGGAAAAGCGTCAATGACCTCAATGGGTAAGGTAGGTATGTGTGTGTGTATGTGTGTGAATGTTTATGCGGTGTCAAAGAGGAGGTTGTAAGATGTTTGCAAAAGCTCACTAGGTAGGCACCTTAGGTTCGTGCTATAGACAAGTCTGACAGCAGGCCTCATGGCTTCTATTTATCCTCTATATCCTACCTCACCTAGAATGTCTACAGCTAGCACGATAGACTACGTTCACTGCCTCAAACGGCCAAGAAGAGTAAGCGATTCGACGTGCGAAAGCGATGGACTGAGCCTTAACAGCGGGAATTGACGATAATAAGCAAGGTCGAATGGGATCCCCGATTCGGCATTGGGGAGGGTGGGCTCAGCCAATAGCTTCCACAATGCGCCACACCTTCATCTTAGAATTCGTCATCTGCTTCGTCGCATTCGCATCTCAGCCACGCTACACTTCACGCGGTTCAGCTCTCATTGGCTCCCCCGCTTCAGCACCAGGCTGTTGTGTAGGGCTGATCCGGCTATGCCACCCGGAATGCGCTCGCCTGGCTGGGAATCATCCAATGATGAACGTAAGCATAGACAGGGAACCATATGAAAACGTACAGGCCATTGAGGTGATCGTTGGTAGGTGTATCTCGCCATGTGTATTGATGCTTGCTATGTATACTTGCTATGCAATTCCGTAACCATGTATGTACCCGTCTTCTACATCTGTCATTCATTGATTCCTGCCCAGTTGCGACAACTCCCAGAACGCTCGCAATAAGGCGAGCCCTCCGATCTGCGTCTCGCCAGTACGGCCGCGGCCCCGTGAGTTTGGATCGGTGACGGGATCGGGGGCCAATTTGGACATCCCCGATAGACGGCTTAATACCTGTTGATCTGTGTTCCCGGATTGACCTATGATGGGATTGGGGTCGCCCGGCATCCACCGGCCTGAACCAGGTAGCCACTGTGTATCCTGACCCCATATCTCATCGTTGGGTGTCCCTTGGTTACGATAGTCAGTCACATTCTCTGCAGAATGATCGATGCCGTCTCCGTCCCTCGTCACCACTGTGTTGTTGAAGAGACCAGCTCCCCACCACATGCCAAATTGGCCGTTCAAGTCTACCGTCTCCATCGCAGCAAGAACGTTGTGATGAACCCAGCCGAGGTAGGATCGGCATGACTCTATGTGCGCCGTCCTCAATATCTGGTATGCCCTCTTATTTACAATGCGGTGAGGCGCGGCGCTGATCGGCTCGAGGTCTGTGCAAAAGGCGACCAGATGGTGGAAATATATGGCCTTGAAGGTCTGAGAGTCTTGCGAGCAAGTTGCACTGGAATCGCACTGCTCTTCTAACACCCCTCCGCGCCCCAGGCCGTGCCAGGGAGGCAGGACACCTGGAGGGTAGACGCTGAGATCATCGTGGGGCCTGTTATGCTCCAGACTCCACCCAGTAGCATTAATAACTGACTGTATCAAGTTATGGCCTTCCTCCAAATAAGATGGGCTGCCGGTGACAGAGTATAGGCCGCGCTGGCCTGTGAGGATGACGCCCTGATTGTACGTGTACACCATCTCGTCCCTCATGTCACACTCAACATTGCCCGGGATCGAGAAATCTATATGGTATCCATCAACATAAAGGCCCCGGGCATTGGTCATATTGACATCCTTAAGCCACTTGTAGCCCACGATGGCCGCCGCCAAATGCGCTGGATCCTTTGACGGGTACAGGCTCGACGCAACGAATGGTGAAGAATAGTTGTCGCCGGGAAAGTACTGGTACATTGATACAGACGCAGAAATCCAGAGCTCGTTGGTGATGGCATTTTTATACGGGCGCAAACGCGGGTTCCAGGTCATTCCGCCATGGCACAGGTCATCGCCCCAGCCTGATGTGGCAAGACCCCAGAAAACGCGCGACCGATGCGCAAAGGCAGGCATCCAGTGATTTCCATGCCAGGGGAGAGATTTCAGTGCCTCTTCAAGGCTTCTTGACCCTGTGGGGTTTGTTGCTTGTGCTGGATAGTGCATTTTTGAATGCGTCGTGACAAATTGAACTGCCTCGAGCCAGCCAAGGACCACCCAAAGGATATCGTCGTACGCCTAATGCGGTCTTGTGAGTATACCTCTATATATATACCTAGGGAAGGGGGCCTCATACCTGTCCGCGGATCGAGAGGATATCCTGTCCAAAATATGAACCAACCAACTGGGAGTAATAGAATGAAATGAGGTTTTCCTTGGCTTTCCAGTCGTTGAAAGGTCTTAGATGGATCGACCTCAATGCTTTGGTCAAAGTTGTCAATGTTCCAGCCATGACAGTCTCATGGACAGCGGCTGTCCAGTCATTCGCCAAAGGCCATGTGCCAGCCTCCGAGTCGAAGTAGACCTGCTGCAGGACGGCTAAGGCCTCGAATGCATCTTCAAGAACCTCAATCTCTGCCTGTGGCACTTCTCGATCGCTGGGGATAAAGTCAAGAAACGTCTCCGGGACGGGCTTACAACGCATCACCACATTCTTCAGCAGCGAAGATTCATAGAAGACCGGGCAGTAAGGGACCTTGTCGGTGGATCTTGCCAGCACTGGAGATACGCCATACGTCAGACAGAGGCTGACGAGGCCAATGAGCAGCTGGGAGAGAGCCATGATGCTTGCAGAGAAGGCTTGCAGAAAATCCAAGGACCTTCGAGATGGTTATAATCCGGGGAGATGCGCATGTGATCACCAGGGCCAGCCGGCACGCGCGAGGTTTTTTCTCTCACGGGGAGGAGAGTGTCATGTTACCAGACCCCAATGATGCGTCTGTAACCCGCCCAAGGGGCTGCTTAGCGCCGAGAATGGGTGCTGTGTCTGGGGAAATAGGAGACCAACAAAAGAGCTAAGGTAGGAGATGCGCGGGACAGGTGTGTAGGAAATATCCGTGGGCCAGCCGAGCCGACCAGCGATGCAGGGGAAGATGGAGGGTTTTGCCGGCAGTTTCCATCCAGGCAATTGATCGTTGCGGCGGAGGATGTGCGGCCGCGAGCCCCACAGCCATCGCCATGGCGGAGGCCCCTTCTTGAGTCAGGTCATCAGCCGTGCCAAGAAGGTATAGTTCTGACATTGGAGGGGGGTCTGGGCTTGAGCCGAGTGTCGTCCTCATGGGACACGGTTCTGGACTGTCATGAAGGGTTCCCGTCGCATTGCAGCCCATCAGGTGCGCCTTTGGTTGGCCAAAGTGTGTGGTACTGGTGCATGTGCAAATATGCAAGCCATCCGAGCGTTTACTGTAACGGGATGGCAGATCTGGGGAAGCAAAGGCTATCTCGCAGCACCCCCGAACTCAATCTCGCACCAGGTTCGGCTGTAACAGGCAGTAGGCATTGAATACACGCTGAAAATTCCTGTCGGTAACACTTGCAGAACTGCGCACACTATTCGAGTCAGGTGGTGGCCATGAGTAGTGATCATCACCTATACAACCCCTCCTTCTCCCCCGCCACTTGTCTAGATCTGGAACAGCTAGTGGACGAAGCCCCAAGTGCCCGCATCGCCTTTGACGCGAGGATGGGCTGGACCCTTTTTGGTAGACGCGCTGTTGGAACGCCCAAGTATATTTAACAATCCCGAAGACTTTCATAGCATCATCAAGGTTACATTGAGTTGATACAAGAGATGGAAGGCAGATAGTCTAGGGTAGGCATATTATTCAACACACTCATGATCCACAATTACCTGTTGTTAATGGATTACATCAAGCCAATCCAGGGTCTAGGATCACCAACAAACCAGAAACCTGCAAATGAGAATCCAAATTGAGCGGCCGTGTTGGTGAATTTCCGAGCACAATTCACGCGGCCCCTTCAAAGCGAAAATGAGGTGTGGGCAATCTACGGGATCTTCAGCCACTGTTTCTTCAGTGACATTGATGTAGAACCTGAACCCTTTATGATTTAGTAGGGATCTATAACATATTTCTACGTGCTAGTTAGTTCCAAACGGCCTTCAAGGCGACACGTGGCCCTGTCTGAGCCTTGAAATGCGCATAGACCAGAGGATTGATTCCGTTGAAATGATTGGATTCGAGTTCCGCGTCTAGAGTGGCTGGGAATGGGCGTGTTCTATCGCGTGGGTGGATTGGCTCTTCTTGTGGCGGTTGTGGCTGGAGCCCCCACCAAATGCCGTTTTAGGGCGACGTGAGGCGGTTTGTTTACTTTCCACCCGAAATGGTTTCAGTGCTATTATTCCACCTCCAATTCACTTCCGCTGTATCTTCACCACCAACTATCCTTGTTTCTTTCCGCGCATATGCTACCACGCTTACGCTTTATTTCTTGCGCACCTACAGCAAATTAGGTTGCAGCTGTATTATCTGTATCGTGTCTCCTCAATCCTAGAATACCTGGACAGACTCGACTACCTTAATTCGGTCATCGCGTTCCATTACGCGCGACAAGAGCAATGGAGGCCGAAGCTAGATACCGCTCTCGCATATTGAGAGAGATGGAAGCCAACCGCAACAACCCCTTCAACTCTCCCCCCTCCTCTACCGGTTCACATGGCACTGTTAGCCCAACAATGTCTTCCGTTTTCTCAGACCCAGACGGCGAATCCACGCGGCGGCTGAACGAGGATATTGCCCGTGTCACAGCTCCTAGGAAATTGCCAGTCAATTGGGAAGCCGCCCACCGCAAGTGGCCTGAGTTTTACAGCATGCCCAAAAGTCGCGACCTGCCAATCCTCGACGATGACACAGACACGAGACCACTAAGCCCCGAATTGAAAGAGAACAAGCCACCCGTCCGAAGTGCTAGATTCACCGTGGACGATACCACACAAGACATTTGGAACGGATCAGCAAGGACGCGTTCCGAGATGCAGCCTCGCGCGGACACCGAGTCCGACCTCTCATCACTCATATCCAAGTCACCCGCCCGAGTCCTGTCCGTGCCCAATGGGAC